GGAGAGTGGTGGGGGGAGAGTCTCTACATATTTCAGCACAGACCACCCAGTGTGAAAACAAGGTACTTTAAAAAAAAGGCTCCTTAAAAAGTAGTTAATGTTAGATAGAGAGGAAAGAGACAGGGAAAAGATCAGACAAAAGAAAGGATGGGGGGAAATCAAAGGGTTAAATGAAAAATTTCAGAAAGAGCCAATGGTTTGTAGTTCTCATGGACAGCGTTTGGGAAGATGAGACTCAAGTGATTAAAAAGTGCAACCTTAGCCGTTAATGTAAGCTGTGCAGATACACTCCTTTCCACTGACCGCCCACCCCAGAGGTCATTAACTCCTCCTAAAAGGCTTCCTACTTCCGATAGGCAAGCACAGTGTGGCTCGTGTCTGCTGGAACTCATGGGCCAAAGAAGTCAGCGGATGCCTCTTGCTGGCTTCCCTGCCAGTCTGAGTCATGTGCCAGGGAAGGGAAAAGCCTGATGCCCAGCGTGGCTATGCTCCAGAAGAGGCCCCAGTGTCTGTGCTGTTCCCGTTCATAGAGGGAGCCTGAGAACAGACTTGCATGAGGAGAAGAAACATTTTCTGTGTGGGTGTCAGCTGGGAACGCCAGCCTCCTAGCACCTGGGAACATTGGCTGATTCTCCCACGGGGAGAGAAGCAGCCATTGTTCCCAATTCATTGCCAGGCAACCGGAGGCAGCCCCTGGGGTCATTGGTTAAACAGCCCTGCTTCTGTTCTGGCAGTGCCTTTGCTCCTGGTATTCCTAACCAGGCTGTACTGACAGTCCACCCTCCCAGCATCACCATCCGCCAAAAGATGCTTGCCCTCCCAGCAGGCATCGTTCCCATCTGGGAGTAGGAGGAAATTTAAGGAGGGTCTCACTGAGAAGGTGACAATTGAGCAAAAGCCTGAAGGAAGTGAGGGGTGAGGTGAGTGAGGTTGGGTGAAAAGAGTTTTCCAGGCTTTCTCATAAAACTTGGAAAATTGATATATGAAGTCAACAGATGGGAAACAATGCAGGAATATCCACGGTAGGTGTGGATCATATGACTGCGGGAATTAAATCAGCCTGGAGACATGGGGCTCATTTGGGAGGTGACACAGAACTCTGGGGCCCTCACAGGTGGCTCAGTGGTAAAGAATTCACCTGCCAATGCAGAAGATGTGGGTTCGATCCCTGGGTTGGGAAGATCACCTGGAGAGGGAAATGGCAACCCACTACAGTGTTCTTGCCTGGAAAACCCCATGGACAGAGGAGCCTGGCGGGCTGGACATGACTTAGTGATTGAACGACAGCAACAACAAACAGAAATCTTTTAGGTAGGAAAACAGAACAACAGTGTGAGCCAATGTGTGTGGATGAGGCAGACATAGACAAAGAGAGGGATGAGAAGTATGAAAGTACACTTATGGGGTAGAAATGAAGGATGTTTAAGGCAGTGACATGCTGGTAAATGTTTAACAACTGGTGCTCCAGGAAAACTCTCCAAATCTTTATTTGTAGTATTTGCAAATCAATGTCATATAAATACTCCCACTATGGCCAATTCCAGGTTACCGAAGTTACACTGAACACAGAATAGAAAGCAAGAAAAATTCAAAATGACATGTAGATTTTCTACTGCAGGCCTGAGAGCTGAAGATGTTGAGGGCAGTGTGTGGATGTCTACAAACCACTGATATGTTTTGTGGCTGCGCAGAGACCCAGGGCCCCGATCTCTAAATTCACAGCCTGAAGGACGGAATTAAGGGAAAATCGAAGTTTCCTTTTGTGCTCTCCCCAACCTCAGATATGCAGAGGACACCACCCTTATGGCAGAAAGTGAAAAACTAAAGAGCCTCTTGATGAAGGTGAAAAAGGAGAGTGAAAAAGTTGGCTTAAAGCTCAACATTCAGAAAACTAAGATCATGGCATCTGGTCCCATCACTTGATGCAAATAGATCGGGAAACAGTGGAAACAGTGGTTGACTTTACATTTCTGGGCTCCAAAATCACTGCAGATGGTGACTGCAGCCATGAAATTAAAAGATGCTTACTCCTTGGAAGGAAAGTTATGACCAACCTAGACAGCATATTGAAAAGCAGAGACATTACTTTGTCAACAAAGGTCTGTCTATACATTACTTTGTCAACAAAGGTCTGTCTAGTCAAGGCTATGGTTTTTCCAACAGTCATGTGTGGTTGTGAGAGTTGGACTATAAAGAAAGCTGAATGCTGAAGAATTGATGCTTTTGAACTGTGGTGCTGGAGAAGACTCTTGAGAGTCCCTTGGACTGCAGGGAGATCCAACCAGTCCATCCTAAAGGAGATCAGTCCTGGGTATTCACTGGTAGGACTGATGTTGAAGCTGAAACTCCAGTACTTCGGCCACCTGATGCGAAGAGCTGACTCACTGGAAAAGACCCTGATGCTGGGAAAGATTGAGGGCAGGAGGAAAAGGGGAAAACAGAGGATGAGATGGTTGGATGGCATCACCAACTCAATGGACATCGGTTTGGGTGAACTCTGGGAGTTGGTGTTGGACATGGGAGGCCTGGTGTGCTGCAGTTCATGGGGTCGCAAAGAGTCAGATATGACTGAGCGACTGAACTGAACTGAACTTCATTTATTCTTTCCTTTCACAGAGCCAGTGTGTCTAGGGCCCTTTTCCTTAATGGATTTCCGCCTGGTCTTTTCTCTGCCAAAGTTGCTCAGATACCCATAAAGGGTGATTCTCCATATCCAGGGAGTTAAGTTGAGCCAAAAAATGGAGCAGGCAGTTTGAAGCACCCCTGTTTTAGGAGTCTCTACTTTTGCAAAGGTGGCTCAGCTGAGTTAGAAATGCCCACCCAATCCACTGGAGCTGCTTGTGCACCTGAAATAGACCTGGTGGGAGGTGAGAAGGTGCATGTACTACCATTTCGAAACCATGTCTGCCAGGTCCACTCCTCTGGAAGCTTCCTCTGACCACGGGACCATGGGGGAGTGGCTTCCAGAAGCAAGTAGTACTCTGCGGGTTATCACAACCACAGTCACTTTAATCTCTGCAGGTGGAAGCCAGCACATGCAGGCTTGGAAATCCCGACATCCTCTCTGACTTCCCAGCCTGTGAATAGATCAATAGGTGAAGGTGGTAGATTATTTCTAAATGTAATTCTATCTTTACGTAAGTTTTCACATGTTTATATGAGGTTTTACAAGGAACAAAGTGATTTCTCATGTACTCTCCATTTGATTGGCTTTTCAAAACCCTGGCAGGTGCTATTATCCCATTGTACAGATGAAAAGCCTGATTTTTCAGGGATGGCAGATGACACCCCCCACCCCACCCAGTCAGACACTTGAGAAACAATGGAGCTGGAATACAGACTCAGATATTTTTTCTTCCGAACTCCCATTTCTTTTCAGAATATCTCACTGCAGCTCTATGTTATGTGTACATACATGTGGTTATATATGTATGCACAGACATACCACTTCGTACAAGCTTACTATATAGGGATTTTTAAAAGATGAAGCTAGATGTGGCCTTCTATTAATCCAGCCTTATGAATTCATCAGCTATTTCTTGAGTGAATAGAACATGCTAGGCAATGTCAGACTACAGCTAGCAATACAGCATGGACCATCCAGGCCTCCAGCCCCAAATGCACAGACTTTAGAGTAGCAGAGATATGGTTAAAAGCAGACCTTGACTGCAGAGGAAAGAGCAGAAGGGGCAAAGGAGAAGGCAGATTGGGAAGGTGTGCCTTCTAACTCCTGTGTAAGGGAATGGCCATTGAACCAGATAGTTAATGAAACTCTTCTTCCCTCCTGGTATCATATTTCATTTCTTCATGCCAGGCTGGGATTTGGGGAGCCTGTTCCTATTCCAATATTTTATATACAGTTCTCACACAATAAGTGGTGTTGAAAGATTAAATAATTTTATTTGTGCTGTTCTTTAGAGTTCCAAACAATTTTTTCATTCTCATAGTTACTTAAGGTACGTATTACCTCCATTTTACAGATGAAGAAACTGGGGTTCAAAATGAACTTGACTAAGGCCACAGTATTTAAAGATAAGAACCTTACATCCAACCCAAGAATGAATTGAATTTCTGTTTACTTTCCACCATCCCAGCAGAATTAAACAATTTCCATTTTGCTGGAAAGCAGGGTTTGTTATTCCAGTATTGTTTTGTGTGCCTACCAACAGAGGACAGGTTACATAAACAGTGAGGCATCTCCACAGTACAAAAACGATAGACAATGCACAGTACCCTCTGTGTTCACATCTGGAAAGTTTTCCAAGATATACTGTTAGAGAAAAGAGAAACTGTATACAGTCAGCTATGTTTTAAGAACAAAAGTTGGAGATGGGGGAAAGAAAAAAAAATATGTTCACGCTTGACTCACATCTGCATGAATTAACAACAGGCAAATATACAAGGAAAATAACATTACTTAGGGGGCAGTGGGGCTATCCAGTAAAGGAGTGAATTCTCAACATATGCCTGGTTATTTCAATTCCTTTGAACCCTCTCAGTGTATCCCTGGTGATCCATTGGCTAAGACTATGGGCTCACATTTCAAGGGGCCTGGGTTTAATCCCTGGTCAGGGAACAAGATCCCACATGAAAGAAAGAAAGTGAAGTCGCTAAGTTGTATCCCACTCTTTGCTATCCCACGGACTGTAGCCTGTCAGGTCCATCTGTGGGATTTTCTAGGCAAGAATACTGGAGCGTGTTGCCATTTCCTTTTCCAGAGGATCTTCCTGATCCAGGGATCAAACCCTTGTCTCCTGCATTGCAGGCAGATTCTTTATCATCTGAGCTACTTTAAAGAGCCCAGATCCCACATGCTGCAACTAAAGATCCTGTGTTCTGCAACTAAGAGCTGGCAAAGCCAAACAAATAGATACTTTTTAAAATGTGTTACTTATCCAAGAAAGTAGATACATTTTGTACCAAAGATAGCTTCTCCACAATAATAGTTCCCATCCCTCCCCTTTCACACTCCTTATCCCCAAGACATACAGTACACACAATGAAAGAAACCCAGAGTAAGTTTTTAATAGAGAAAATTTTGCAGGTACAGGATCAATCAGTAATGTCAGAACACTGACACCAATCCATTTATTTTTGAGCATTGATGAGTTTGAGAGACACACCAGATCCAGGCATCTGTTTGTAATGAGACGCTTCTGAAACCTAAGGGAAAAGAAGAAACAAAAGTAAATGTATTTGGGAACTTCTTTCTTAACCTTCCTCAAGATATGCAGAAAAATGTGCCAACCTGTTTCCTCATAACCAGTTCACTTCTTGTTGAGTATTGTGCATGCTAAGTCACTTCTGTCTTACCCGACTCTGTGTGACCCCATGGACTATAGCCCTCCAGTCTCCTCTGTCCATGGGATTCTCCAGGCAAGAATACTGGAGTTGGTTGTCAAGCTTTCCACCAGGGGATCTTCCCAAACCAGGGATCGAACCCATGTCTCTTACATCTCATGCATTGGCAGGCAGATTCTTTACAACTAGTGCCACCTCATTTCCTCACATACACACTCCCTGTGGTAAGAGGACACAGCATCCCTGCAAAGATGCTGTAATTTTGCTCTTCAGATAGAGTTGCCAGATTTGGCTAATCAGTTCAGTTCAGTTCAGTTCAGTTGCTCAGTCATGTCCCACACTTTGCGACCCCATGAGCTGCAGCACGCCAGGCCTCCTTGTCTATCACCAACTCCCAGAGTCCACCCAAACTCATGTCCATTGAGTCGGCGATGCCATCCAACCACCTCATCCTCTGTCTTCCCCTTTTCCTCCTGCCCTCAATCTTTCCCAGCATCAGGGTCTTTTCAAATGAGTCAGCTCTTCACATCAGATGGCCAAAGTATTGGACTTTCAGCTTCAACATCAGTCCTTCCAGTGGACTTCCAGGACTGATCTCCTGTAGGATGGACTAGTTGGATCTCCTTGCAGTCCAAGGGACTCTCAAGTCTTCTCCAACAACACAGTTCAAAAGCATCAATTCTTCGGCCCTCAGCTGTCTTTATAGTCCAACTCTCACATCCATACATGACTACTGGAAAAACCATAGCTTTGACTAGACAGACGTTTTTTGGCCAAGTGATGTCTCTGCTTTTTAATATGCTGTCTAGATTGGCTAATAAAAATACAATATGCCTAGTTATATCTGAATTGAAGATAAACAACAATTTTTGTTGCACTATAATATGTGTGGTTGTCATTGTTTAGTCTGTAAGTTGTGTCCAACTCTTTGTGACCCCATGGACTGTAAGCCCCTAGATGATTCTGTCCAAGGGATTTTCCAGGCAAGAATACTTCAGTGGGTTGCCATTTCCTTCTCCAGGGGATATTCCTGACCGAGGGATCGAACCTGCACCTCCTGCATTGGCAAGTGGATTCTTTACCACTGAGCCACCAGGGAATCCAGCATAGTGTGTTCCATAAAATATTTGGCGGCATACTTATATTAAAACAATTATTTGTTGATTAACTGATATTCAAATTTAACTGAGCATCCTATATTTTATCTGGCAACCATGTCCCTAGATGCTAGTAGGAGGAAACTGGTTAAGTGCACTCGAGCATGTCAGCTCAGAGGGACAAGAAGTCCCTACCCTGGTGTTACAAACAGAACTTTCTGCACTGACAGACATGTTCTATATCTTTGCTGTCCAAAGCAGAAACCACCAGCAACTTGAAATATGCTTAGTGAAATTGAGGACCTGAATTTTTTTTAAATTTCATTTTGTTTAAATTTAAAATGTCACATGTGGCCAGTGGCCTATATTGGACAGAGTAACTCAAGAATCAGTCATGTATCTCCCTCCAAATGTAGCAAATGGAATTTAAAACCATTGGTGGTTAAAAAGTGTCATCACCTAGGAATAAACTCACAAATCCCTGCAGATTAATGATCTGTTTCTGTGCAGATAGAAGTTCTGTTGCCAACACATTAATCTGGAGTATTCTCTCTGAGTATTTCCTGGGTATCTACTATATGGGATGATGTGCTAGGATATGGAGATGTATGATAGAATTTTTCAACAAACTCTCTCCATAGAAAATCATGTTAACTGTATAATCCCAGTATTAGAATGCAAAAGCCTCCGAGGTGTCCTTATGTGCTGAGCAGGCATTGTAAGGAATGAAACAGCATTGACTTGGTCATATGTGCCCGCTGAGTTCTCCTTTACTTTCCATTATTCTAAACAAATATTTAGCAACCACAGTCCCAATAGGGCATTGAAGAAGATTCTTTTATAAATCATATTGACCAGCAAAGAAAACAGACCAGTGGCTCAGACAATAAAGCATCTACCTGCAAAGGGGGAGACTTGGGTTCGATCCCTGGGTTGGGAAGATCCCCTGGAGGAGGGCACGGCAACCCACTCCAGTGTTCCTGCCTGGAGAATCCACATGGACAGGGAAGCCCGGCAGGCTACAGTCCATGGCATCGCAAAGAGTCAGACACAATGGAGCTACTAAGCCCAGGGCCACTGAGAGTTACCAGAAAACATTGTCTAATGAGATTAGTGCAGAAACCTTCTGGCAGAAGGTAGAGTGTGGAAAACAAATGCAGTATACAGTGCTTCCAAGTTTCACTGCAGCCCTAGTAGAGGTGTAGGGCAGTGGGAAATTTATTAGCAATGGTTCATTTCAGTTCAGTCACTCAGTCATGTCTAACTCAGTCATTTCTGTGACCTCATGGACTGCAGCACGCTAGGCCTCCCTTTCCATCACCAACTCCTGGAGTTTACTCAAACTCTAGTCCATTGAGTTGGTCATGCTACCCAACCATCTCATCCTCTGTCACCCCCTTCTCCTCCCACCTTCAATCTTTCCCAGCATCAGGGTCTTTTCAAATGAGTCAGTTCTTCACATCAGGTGGCCAAAGTATTGGAGTTTCAGCCTCAGCATCAGTCCTCCCAATGAATATTCAGGACTGATTTCCTTTAGGATGGACTGGTTGGATCTCCTTGCTGTTCAAGGGACTCTCAAGAGTCTTCTCCAACACCACAGTTCAAAAGCATCAATTCTTTGGCCCTCAGCTGTCTTTATAGTCCAACTCTCACATCTACACATGACTCCTGGAAAAACCATAGCTTTGGCTAGACAGACCTTTGTTGGCAAAGTAATGTCTAGGTTGGTCATAACTTTTCTTCTAAGGAGCAAGTGTCTTAATTTCACTGCTGCAGTCACCATCTGCAGTGATTTTGGAGCTCCTAAAAAATAAAGGCTGTCACTCTTTCCATTGTTCTCTCATCTATGTGCCATGAAGTGATGGGACCAGATGCCATGATCTAACTTTTCTGAATGTTGAGGTTTAAGCCAACTTTTTCACTCTCCTCTTTCACTTTCATCAAGAGGCTCTTTAGTTCTTCTTCACTATCTGCCATAAGGGTGGTGTCACCCTTATGTAACAATGGTTACTGGGCAGATATTTTTATATAGAAACAAAAATAACCATGTGCTTTCTGGGCTCTGAGTGGGCTTTCTGGGCTGCAGCATCCAATCCCTGGTTCACTCACCAGAGAGTTGAGGCCCAGGCCCTCTGTGAGAAGCTGGGATGTCTACCTACCATGCTCCCCTTCATGGAATAGTCTAATGGAGAAAGGAAAACAAAATGAGATCTGATAAATACAATCTTAGACTGTATTTTAAAGGCTCTCAACAGGAGGATTCAAAGAAAGTAACTTGGAGTGAGAAATAAACAGAGAGAGGTTACTTTGTTTATTTTACTTTTTATATTTGAGGTTGCTCTACACATGCTTCTTTTAACACTTGACATACAGATGTTTACAGAAGGTAACAATCTCTCCTCATATAACCTCACGTAATGGGGCCTTTATTTCTAGATGGTAGACACCCTCTCTTCCCTAGTTTCTATTTTTTTTCTTATTTATTTACTTATCTAATACTGCTTTGCTTTGCAAAGGGTTGAGTGTCTCTTAATAAGTTTTAATATATATTGCCAGGAAATTTTCTCAAGAGATTATACAATTGTGGGAATCCTTTCTCATCCTTATCATCCCAAGTCTTACTAGTTTTAGGGGTTGTCTATCCATAGGTGAAGGGCTTCCCTCGTGGTTCAGCACTGAAGAATCTACCTGCAAATGTAGCAGACCCATTTTCAACCCCTGAGTCGAAAAGATCCTCTGGACAAGGAAATGGCAACCACTCCAGTATTCTTGCCTGTGAAATCCCATGGACCGAGGAGCTTGGCAGGCTACAGTCCACAGAGTCACAAAGAGTCGGACACAGCTTAACAACTAAAGAATAACAACAACATCCATAGGTGAGAAATGCTATTCCTTTGTTGCTGTGATATGCATAACCTAGGAAAGTGAACACGTATATATTTTGGTTTGTTTTTTCTCAAATGCATTCTCTATTTGAGTTTGATAACATGTATACAATATCCTGTTTAATATTTTTTTATTATTGTTTGCCCTTTTCTTAGCAGTTTATAGCTGTTCCTTATAAATTAAAGTCATTAGCCTTTTGTGTATGATGTTTTGCAAATCCTTTATTCTGATGTACTGCTTGTTTTCTACTCTCTTTATGGTATATTGCATCTTTATTTTTATACTGTGTGGTCTGTGTACCTTCCTATATGGCATTTGTATTTCCTGGATGGCTTAATAATGACACCTCCCCCTCAAAACACATACATACAAACTGAGACTATACAAAATCTTTCCTAAAATTTCATTTAGCATTTCTATTTTACATTAGATCCTTAATCCATCTGGCTAGATCAATTTCAGATAGGTCTGTCTGAAGAAGAACTGAGAACGAGCTCACCAAAAAAAAATCAGAGGATGGGCATTGCAGAGAATGAGATCAACAGTGCAAATTTCTTGAAGTACCAAGGAGCCTGGCAGGTGGAAGAGAGACCAATGTAGCAGGACAGAGAGATGTAATGAAGTCAGGTGGGTACTGAGGCTAGAGGTGGTCATGGATGACTCTTCAGGACATGGAAAGGAGTATGGTGAATAAATTAAGGTATGTATTAAAGTACGGGTAATGTGACTTACCAATTTCTTTTGGTGCTACACTGATAATGCTTATTGAGTTTTTTATAAATTTGTCTACTTATTGATGATACAGTTTTCTGGGTGTAAATATAGACTATATCTGCCTTTTGGTAGATCTCCTGATGATACTAATGTTAGTTTGTTACAAGATCAAAGTGTTGAAATAAAATAGAGAGGGAAGAATTTTGGAGCTACATATATGAGCCCTGATTCTTAATTTTATATGTATGGGAAATCCTCAATTAAATTTCTAATGTCTTCTAATAACCTACATGCATTATGCTTAACAGGAATATTTATAATTGAGGTCAAGAAATGACAAACTCTTAAAAGATAACCTGGTTCTAATTTAAAAATACAGACAATTATTTTTTACAACTCATTATAAGATGTACCACACTTATAAAAAAAGAGCTCACAATACATTTAAAAAATAGGAAGTGAATGGCTGACAGATGAAGTAAAGGGCAGATATTGCTATCCAGATTATTGTTTGTAACTGATTGTGTTTTATTAAACTGATCTGCGTTGTTCAGAATATCCTATATAACTGATGATTCTGTCTCAGTCTCACGTCTCAATAAATTTCTGAAATAAACTTTTATTCCTAGTGCCTAGACATCTTCAGTAATTGAAAGGCCTAGGTTTACCATTCTCATCAACTTGCCCCAATTTAAATGGTCCTCTCCCAGGACCCTTGAGACATGGTAGATGGAAACCTACTCAAGGACTGGAAACCAAAGAAAGCTACTGAGAGTTTATTGCCCACTAGAGAGTTTTCCCAAGTGGTAACTAGGGCTTTTGGATATAAACAGTGACATATCAAAGTAGGAGGCAAAAAACTATGTTGGAGAGGAGAAGCTAGGCCCGAGCAGTGAGGAATGTTTTCTGGTTGGGGAATGGCCTCTTAGCAGTGTCTCTTAGGTTACAGTTTGTCAAATGACACCTTCTCTGTTTCTTTGAAGCTCTCAAAATAAGTTGCCAATGCAAACTGAATTTTTCAGAATGGAGTTTCTACTGGTAAGAGAAGATGTTATTACCAGTCCGTTAGTCTGTGTGTAATTAATATCACTTCTGGTAATAAACTGACCCTCTTTTATTCTAGCACTTTATTAAGTGCTTCCTGATGGCTCAGCCACTGACTCAGCTCAACATTTTCTCAGTGTCATTATCAAGTGTTTATTGTATGCCGGGGTCGATGCTGTCAACAATTTAACAAGATTGGACCCTTGACCTAAAGGAGGTTTTGATGAAATGCAGAAAATTAATATACTGCATCATTCACTCTTAAATAGTCCAGTACAAAATTTTGTTATTGGAACCCGGAGGGGAGAATTCAAATTCAAGTCTTCTCTAATTCCTTTCTTCATTTACCACAATAAATTACCTTATCAAGTCCTATGTTTCTTTACCAAACCATCTTTCTACTTGTCCCCTTGTTTCACTTGTCACATACTAAATGTGCATCTGCTAACACAGAAATATGTGGCTTTGTAAAGCAATCATCCTCCAATTAAAAATAAATTTGAAAAAATATAGGAAAAAAATTAAAGTGCTGTGTGAAAAATAACATATGTGGGTCACACATTCTGAAGATTAACCTCCCTTCCTGAATGTAGATTCCAGGGCTATCACCTCTCCTCTTTCTCTTAAAATTCTCAAGAAATTAGGATGAAATTAGTAACACTTGGTATGTGGGCAAAGTTAAATCCTCTATGTATTATTGAGTTTTACTCTTCATAATTCTGATAATCTCCTGGAGAGCCATTGATTATAAAATACCCAGTAGTTAGAAGTACTGGCTTCCTGACCTTGGGACTTAGACAAATTGTTTATGCCCTCTTCCAGTTTCCTTTATCTTTAAAATTGGAATAGGAATAGTACTTATCTCTAGGATTGTTGGGTTAAATTAATATGCTGGACCCACGTTGACACACACAAGTGCTTAGTAAGTGTTGGCTATTACTCTTGAGCCCCCTGCATTCTAATTTCAGAACCCACACTGCTGAGCCCATCTTTTCATCACAAGGAAAGTCATACAAGAAAAAATGGATGCAGGAAGTTGAGGTCACACACCTAGTTAAGTGTTAGAGCTTGCAAGCTGGCAAGTCAATGAAAAGTATCCCAAGGCTTATATAAAGCAATTCCAACCTAAGAATCCAAGTTCTCTAATGTAAAGGTATTGTTGGGCAGAAAGAACATGGTCCTCTAGTACCCCTACCTGAAATGCTTTGAGGTTGCACTTTCCACAAACGGATTTTCAGTCTGGCTATCATTGAAAACCTGGTAAGTTCTAATGTGTGGCCGTCAAGATGCTCATTTCTTTTTCTGCCACTTTGCCTTCACCAAACACCCATATACTAGCCAGGTTCTTTGGCTAGTGGTTTCAAGGCTAGGCTGAGGGTGGGGTTAGGGGAGGAGGGGGGAGGGGGTGGGAGGAGGGGGGAGGGCGGTGGAGCGCAGGAGAATGGGAAGAGAGGGATGGAGGCTCCAAGACTGCAGGATGTCTGTGTCAAAGTTAAGAGGAAGGTGTGTCCAGGGGAACCAGCTACTGTTTAGATGATCTCTCCCTGCACATCTGGATTTGAATGCTCTAAACCAACTGATTTCCATGCAGAATGCTTCAGTGAAGCCCCAGGAGTGTTTGAGTGTGGGTGCGTCCCCCTGGGCTGCCTAGGCCCCACACCTTGGTTTACTCAGCTTCCTTGTCTACTCCTTCAAGCACAAATTGGGTCATGCAAAATACTTGATAAGACTCAATCCTGGAAAACAGGATCCTAGGGATTTTTGTACCGTACTAGTTCCTCTTTTGGGTTAGAGCAACTGATTTACTAGCTCTCTAGTAGTAAGCTACTTTGGGGAGGACTACAGTCCTGCTCCAACCCTTTTAGGGCTGCGTTGGGAACCTAGAAACTTGAACCTTTTCATTCAGGCACTAATCTAAGGTTCCTGGAGTAGGCAATGGCAACCCACTCCAGGATTCTTGTCTGGAGAATCCCTTGGACACAGGAGCCTGGCGGGCTCCAGTCCATGGGGTCGCAGAGAGTCAGACACGACTGAAGCGACTTTAGCACAGCACGCCGTCTAGGGTCAGGGTGTTGCACAGTTTGTCAAAATATACTCAATTAAAATACCATCACTCTATCCCCATCTTACGTACAGAAGTATCAGTTTGTAAATGGGGGACAAGACACAATTCGAGTCTAGATTGTTCTGAGCTACTACATGTTAACTCCAGGCAGTTTTCTAGAAGCCCCTTTCTAAACACGAGCTGTTGTTTCAAACGGCACTTTCAAAGTTAACCGAAGGAGACCCTAATTTGCTTAGGAAAGGAAATGAGGGTTGCAGAGCGAGACTTCTGAGAGGGTCTGATCATCTTGCTCGGCACGTTTACTCTCATCATCCAAGTAGCATGTCAAATAAATTTACGGAGACCAGAGTTAAACCCTTAGGCCTTACCGACCAAAGCCAGATCACCTCACTATCAGAAATGCATTAACCACTTTGTAAGTCAGGGCTTAATCGACTTATCAGTTTACTCATACTTTGAACTATTTCTAAGAATCAGAGGATTTCATTGTAATTCTTTAGCTTTCGTAAAAATGTAACTTACCTTTTTGGTTATTTTACAAATATACAGTGATACTAGCGCTTCTTTTGAAATAGTGGGGGCTCTGAAAAGAGCCTTTGGGTTTGAAAGCACTTCCGGAAACGCAGGTCTCAGTCCAATTACTTGCCCTTGGCCTTGTGGTGGCTCTCGGTTTTCTTTGGCAGCAGTACCGCCTGGATGTTGGGCAGCACACCACCCTGAGCGATGGTCACACGACCCAGCAGCTTGTTGAGTTCTTCGTCGTTGCGGATGGCCAGCTGCAAGTGGCGCGGGATGATACGGGTCTTCTTGTTGTCGCGCGCCGCATTGCCCGCCAGCTCCAGGATCTCGGCCGTGAGGTACTCCAGCACCGCCGCCAGATACACCGGGGCCCCAGCGCCTACCCGCTCGGCGTAATTGCCTTTGCGTAGTAGACGATGGACTCGCCCCACAGGGAACTGGAGCCCCGCCCGCGAAGAACGAGACTTGGCCTTTGCTCGCGCCTTACCTCCTTGCTTGCCACGTCCCGACATAGCAAATACAAAAAACAACAAAAGAAACAAAAACAAGACTGCCTGTCAAAATACACCAAGTCTAGAACTAGGTAGAACACTGCTGCTTTTATAGGCATTTCCTGGGGAGTAAATCCGATTGTTTGATTGGCTGTTAACGAGACTCAGCGAAGTAGCCAATAGAAAAGCTGAATTTCCATACCTCATTTGCATAGTTCTGCCCATAGATGACAACCTTGCTGTTTATCTTCCAATTAACTAAGACGCGCTCTGCATCCCTCATTAGCATAAAGGCCCTATAAGTAGCAGAAATCCGCTTCCTATTTTCTATTTATCTTTCGTGTTTTCAGGTTTTAAAATGCCTGAGCCAGCGAAGTCTGCTCCTGCCCCGAAGAAGGGCTCTAAGAAGGCGGTGACCAAGGCCCAGAAGAAAGATGGGAAGAAGCGCAAGCGCAGCCGCAAGGAGAGCTACTCCGTGTACGTGTACAAGGTGCTGAAGCAGGTCCACCCGGACACCGGCATCTCGTCCAAGGCCATGGGAATCATGAACTCCTTCGTCAACGACATCTTCGAGCGCATCGCGGGCGAGGCATCGCGCCTGGCGCATTACAACAAGCGCTCGACCATCACATCCAGGGAGATCCAGACGGCCGTGCGCCTGCTGCTGCCCGGGGAGCTGGCCAAACACGCGGTGTCCGAGGGCACCAAGGCCGTCACCAAGTACACCAGCTCCAAGTAAACTTGCCAAGTAAGCGTCTTTACACCCAACCCCAAAGGCTCTTTTAAGAGCCACCCACGTGTGCACAGAAAGAGCTGTAATGTATGTACGTTGGGCATTCATTAATGGGCCTAACGACTGAAGGAAGTGGTTTGCTAATCTGAATGAAAATTATAAAAAACTGAATTAGGAGGCTGTTGTCTTGTAGTATCAATGAGGCTTGCAATTCGACAAGTCTCCGTGAGGGCTGAACTGAGTGAGGGCTAGTAACGGAAGGCAGGGAAGCTAGGCGGGCGGAGGAAAAGAGCCGTAATTGTATTTAGCATACACTCTAGCACACAAAATTCCCAAACCAGGCAGTCGCTGGGCGAGATAGGTTGGGGGAGGGGAAGAGTGCACCTTGGAGTAACGTTTCCATTAAAAAGGTAGACTAGACTAAAGGCATAATCTGTGTTACAAGGGAAACCATTTATTTGACGATTTGTGGTAAGATGCAATGTGATTTGGTTACTTAACGGTGAAGTCCTGTGATCGATGTTCAGTTTTCTTTAACACCTGCAAAGAATACAGAGGCCTGTCTGGCGCTAGTCAGGCCTCCATTGGAACAGCTCCACAATCACTGGCTGCCTAACCTGGAAGTTATCCCAAGAAATGTGCAGCCCTGGCCTAAATAAGGTAGAAGTGTAAGTATAGGTAAATGGCATATGCTTATCACACCACCTCCTCAAACTGTTTCCAAGTCCCTTAAGAACTGTCATAGGATTTTTTTTCTATACCTCTAGAGAGCCTACCCCAGGCTTGACGATACAAATCAGACCAACCTCTCCTCACTGCCAAATCTGTTTACCCAATATAGGTTCAAACATAGGTTTGAAAAATAGGTTCAAATATAGGTTAAAAAAACCCCAGGCTGCCTATAAGGTTTTTATTTCCTTCTCTTCCTGTTTTCCTTACATGTAAATTCTGGTTTGTTTTTGTTGGATGAAGTAATTCTTGCTTGATTTCTCTTCAGTACAAGAGCAGGCTGGCTAATCATTAACACTTCACAGTTTATTTCTGAAGGGTCCACCAAGACATTGTTTACCTGAGTCGTACCTTAGAGATCAATAGAAATGTGACCTGAATATATACCTCGTCTAGCCCTGGGCACTTTTGAGTTTTCTGTTCCTCTTCTCTTGGCTCTTGCATGCTAACATTAATTTTGCCCAATTCGCTTCTTGATTTGGTGTTTAGGTTGGATACACACTAGTGGTTTTATGATTAGATCATTAAGTGATTGGCGCAGTGGTAAAGAATTCAATCCACCTGCCCATGGAGGAGATGCAACCATCCCTGGATCAAGAAGATCCCCTGGAGCTTGTAGATATTCTTGGAGTAGGAAATGGCAACCCACTCCAGTATTCTTGCCTGGAAAATTAACTGAACGACTGAACCTGAGCAACTGATCGCCCACGCACACTAAGAGATTTTGTTACTGTTGAGTCGCCAAGTTGTGTCCAACTCTATGACTTCACAGGCTGTAGACTGCCAGGCTCCTTTGTCCATGGGATTTCCAGGCAAGAATACTGGAGTGGGTTGCCATTTGCTTCTCCAGGGAATCTTCCAGACCCAGATATTGAACCTGAGGCTCCTGCCAACTCTCTTGCATTACAGATGGATTCTTCACCCCTGAGTCACCAAATTGGTGGCAAAGGACAGAGTCGAATTTGGTTCCTTTGTTAATCTTTTGGTTGTTTGAGGATTCTGATATTCTCTGGCAATTGAGAACACAGGATCAGGACGCTGGTGTTTTATCTTTCTAGCCTTTGATGGGATCCACTATATTTGGTGTTTTGTGTCTATATACTGTGTGTTCTTTTAACTAAAAATCAGAGTTTCTTTCAAAACTGTTTTGGTGATTACTCAGTATGAATCCAAATAATTGTTACTATATGCAAAAACAATATTCCTGCTTCAAAAATAATGTGAATATAAAATGGCCACCTAAAACTTTTTACCTTAATAAAGTTGTAGACCCAACAATAAACTGAAGAAAAAAAACCAAGGAAATAAAATCTTCTTCATGGAATTGGCCTGTCTTGGTATCCTGAAGCCTCTAAAAGTTTTATGATTCAGTAATTCTAAAAAAAGAAAAAAAATTGTCTCTTCTTCAAGTAAAGTTAGAGAGGAGAGAAAAATATGCCATTATAAATAGAGCTATTGAGTCACGTTAAAAAAAAAGAGAGAGCACTTCCAATACCTGTATTAAAACAAACATTTAATAGTTTACAAACCTTCAAGAGTTCATTTTGAGGGATATGGCACTGTAAACTAGCATTTCCTACCAACCTTTGAAGGATATGAGAGACTTTACTCATATTCTCAGCGATGGTGTTCCCCAAGGCATCTCTAATAGTAATCACATTTGTTTCTTTAATTGATTAACATACTTAAATCTCTGTGCTGTTTTTAAATTAAATATCTTTAATTTTTGTTATATTTCACAATTAGCTCCTCTAAAAATTGTACGGTGATTGAGAATCTTTTCTGCTTTATGAGTACAAATAATTTTAAACAAATTATCTACTTCAGCAGGAAATTTTAAACTCAAATTTTAAATAGCTAATATAAAGGCTAAAAAAATTCATCAATTTAAAATAAGAGGAAAATCAAATTCTCCTGATTCTTTAAATATGGCTATGTCATTAAGTGGTAACTCAGGCAAAAAAAAAGTTTCATTGAATTTAATTAGTGGTGATTGTTAACAAATTATGAGATAAGAAACAAAACTACTCCACTATTTTTAAACAACTTAAGTATTTTAATATATGGCCTGTAATTCTATAGGAACAAATCAAATATTTGTAATATAACTTTTTGGATAAATTTGCTGGCTTAAAAATTTGCTTTACAAAATGGATCTATGTCTTTTTATTATCATCATAATGTAAAAGTAATGTTACTAGTTTACACAAGTTTAGGGATTATTTTCTTTCAAAAAAAGTTAATTTAAATTTGCTAAGTTACTTCAACTCGGTTTAGTGATTACATGAGTTAACATCTATTTATTTAAAATTTTACATTATGTTAACTAATGCATTGAACTAAATTATCACAAGATAGTGATAAAGTGGATAGATATTATAAGATTACAAATCATATTGACTCAGTGTGTCAACTTAAATCCTGAATTCAAAGTTTATAGATAAATATAAAATTTGCTACTGCTAAGTCACTTCAGTCGTGTCCGACTCTGTGCGACCCCATCCCTGGGATTCTCCAGGCAAGAACACTGGAGTGGGTTGCCATTTCCTTCTCCAATGCATGAAAGTGAAAAGTGAAAGTGAAGTCGCTCAGTCGTGTCTGACTCTTCGTGACCCCATGGACTGCAGCCTACCAGGCTCCTCCATCCATGGGATTTTCCAGGCAAGAGTACTGGAGTGGGGGTGCCATTGCCTTCTCCGAACTATAAAAAATTTAGGTGGTATTAAATTGAGTTAATGAATGCCAAATCTTTGGATACCTGGACAATTTCTAAATTGGAGAGTATAAAATACACATCACTAAAAACAATTAGAATGGTGCAAGCCTTTTATTTTGACACAGCTGAGAATGATCATAGATTAATAGGTTAGAGAGCATATAGATGCCTTTGGAGAATGGGAATAGGTATGCTTGTTTTTGCCACTTTAAATTTGTAAAGGGTATAAGTAAAGTATACATGTGAGCTCAGAGAACAAGGAAGGTTTTGGACGGCCTCCCAGTTTCTTTGTGCCTGTGAGGGAACACAATCGCCTGCTTCCTAAAAGGCTGTTGTTAATACAAATAGCTCTGGCTCTACCAAGTACTATAGCTACAGAGAAACACAGATATATACACAGGCAATGGCTCTGTTTGCTCTGTTCATTTAATGGGAAGTTGTATATTGTTCATTAACGTGGTGTGTGTGTGTGTGTAAGTCACTCAGTCGTGTCTAACTCCTTGAGGCCCCATGGACTGTAGCCTGCCAGGCTCCTCTTTCCATGGAATTCCCCAGGCAAGAATACTGGAGTGGGTTGCCATTCCCCTCTCCAGGGTATCATCCTTACCCAGGGATCAAACCTGGGTCTCTTCCATTGCAGGCAGATTCTTTACCATCTGAACCACTGGGGAAGCATGCATTAACGTAGTAAATTCAATTTCATATGTGCTGTCTTATTTATGCTGATAAATAAATGCACTTTAGAGCTGCTGTTAAAGACTTTGAATTTATAATTATATTTATCAACCATCCCCTCAATAAAAGTTGACTATCCAAATCTCTCATACTGTTGGTAAAACCACCTACAGACTTTATAGTCATGAAACCAAAAATAACTCCAACAGTAAGCACAAACTAATTCAAATTTTTAAAAAATGTTGATTAGCTCAAAGACTTAACAGATGATTGAATCTTGCCTCATCTCCAATTAGTATAACTTGAAAAACCGTAAAGGTGTGATGGTGAACATTAACAAGTCAATTTTATGTTATCGTTTGAAAATATATGGATTTTTTTTTTTTTTACCACCTGGGAATATCTGTAATCCTTTTAAATAATAAAAAAAATGAGATCATAGATAAAATATTCTTATAGATTGATATGTTCTATCTAATATCACCCACTAACTGCTAAGAAGATAATACAAATAATTTGAAGTATAATTACCCAAAAGATTTAAACTTACTGTAGCAAAATTTTACTTCTAACCTTAATAATAATGATAATATGATCTACATCTGAGTAGTCTCAAATTCTTATCATTTGAAATTAGACTGAAAAATCCTCACTTGTCTTTTCTTCACTTGTAACATGTTTCAACTATCAGATGTTTCCCCAAACTAATGTTAGCTATACTTATCATATATAAAATAAATGCAATCTACATGTCAAAAAGACTTCAATAGACACACCTCTACCTAATATAAAATTTAAAGTTGTATTAAATAGACCTTTTAAAAAATGTCAACTTTTAACAACGCTATGCTGTGCTTAGTCATGTCTGACTCTTTGCAAGCCCATGGACTGTAGA